TTAACCATTGTCATAAAACAATATGTGTACTAACTGTTTAATGAGAAACTATTTGTTCTGTAAACCTTCATCTAAAGTACAATAAAAAAAAAATGGGAACACTCAAAAAGGGGCTAATAAAATTATTTTCAAAATGAAGTAACTTGCTTCCATATTCCCTAGGAAATTTGGTTCACAGAAGGGCATTATCCATCCCGAGATCTGAGACAACATCAAGTAAGGATGTTTCACCTTTATTTCAAAATCACTCTTCATTTAAAAAACAAAAAACAAACTACACACCTGTACTACCAGTCATCTAGGCTCCTTCCCACTTTTCCAGTTAAAGAAAAGTTCTTCCCCTAGGGGCAGCCCTGAGGGGGTGGAGCCCTTTGCAGGTAGAGGAAAGGGAAGCTGTGAATTCTCTTTCACTGTAATTAACACATTCCAGGTGAGAATGAAGAACTACCACACCTGTAGGCTGTGATTTTACATCCCTAGATGACTTTCCCATGTGGCCGACTTTTTCAGTTCATTCCATATTGATTAACCCTTCATCTCCAAGATGAGGGTCCTTTATACTTGGTTGTCAGTCTGTCTGCAGATGCATGACAAAATGCCCCTCAAAGACAGCTGCAAGAGCTTCTGAAACAGAGTCCTTGCCCCAATTTCTCACTGCTTCAATTGGTTCTTCACCAGGATGCCACAGGTTTCTAAAAACACAAGTTAAATCGTACCACTCCCATCTTTAAAACCCTTTAGGAATCCTCTACTGTCTCAGAATCACTAGAGTTTATTTTGTGGGGTAACTCCTCAAGACGCTCGAGGCCTTCTGTCAACTAGCTTCATACCTCCACACCTGTCTCCATCCCTTCTATAATGTGGCTTCACACCTGTCTCCATCGGAACGCTCATCATACCCCTCCACACTGGCCTGTCTCAGTTCCCTCAGCCAGGGATGCCACACATCTTTCAAGACTCAGGTCAAAGGCCATCTCTGGTCCACCAACAGCTTACACCACTCCCTGTATATTCCCAAATAATGTCAGCATTTAACACTCACTATAACTGATTTGGCCTTTTCCAAAGTTTTTGGTTTAAGCCTGTTTTCCCCACTAACAGCAAATTTCCTTTGGGCAAGGATCCTGCATTGTTTGTATTTCCAGAGGGCCTAATTCAACTACCATTTCTTATATATCTAATGCATGCTTTGAACATGGCGATAACTCAAGAACCATTTATGCAATAATAAAATTAGTAAGCAAAGGCCGGCACCCAGCCAGCATGGTGGCAGTAGGGCACAATCACAAGTGGTGATCTCATGCTGTCTTCAACTCCTTTCTATGAACCCAGTGTGCCCCAAGCCACCTACCTAAAACAGGGGAAAGCCACTCCTGTTCTCAAACCCCATGGCCTCTGGAGCAGATGTTATTAGATGCCTGCCCACAGCCATTTCTCCTCTCCTTCTTTGCTGTCAGAGTCCTAATTCTGTCTAGATATACAATCCTCCCCTCCCCATATGACTCAAAAAAGAGCCTTGGATCACAGCAGAGGGTTCTGGACAGAGCTGGAGAAGGATGTAGACCATAATTCTAACCCACAGAAAAAGACCAGATTTACCGGCCTAAAGGAGACTGGAGAAGCCCCAGGAGTGTGGCCCCAGACACCCTTTTAGCTCAGTGGTGAAGTTA